TTTAAATAGCATAATAACCAAAGAGTGCAAAGAAACTGCAGAGTGTGCTGTGCTAAACTGCAAGCCACTACTTCTGAGGCTTTTTAGATAAGTCAGTGGTGGTGGCAAAGTGAGTGGCAGATTTGAACCCTTCAGGTGTGTGTACACAACTGATTTTTGTGGATCATGTTTTGAGAGGGAAAAGACAGGCATTGTTAGTGAGGTCTCAACCTAATCGTCGAGGGTGTCTCTCTCTGCTTCTCATCCTGATTTATTACCTCCTTCTCCATCTCGTGCCACAGTTCCCCTAGATGGGAGAGCTGGGGAAGGTCTATACATCCCTACAAGATAGGAAATGCGAGGTGGTATGGATCTTTGCTACTGGAGAGACAGAGGATGTGTAGACTATCTTGTTCTGTACCACTAACCATTGCCAGTGCGGCAGACAGAAAAGGCCCAGGAGTATTGCTACTTCTCATCGACATCTCCTCCTCATCAAATAGTTGTGCATATGCATTGGAAGTGAATTCAAAGCTAGCAAGGAAAGACAAAAGAACAGAGCTAGGATAACTTATGACTAATCAGCACTGGCTTTTGATGCAGCTTTTATTTATAACAGATTTATAGGAAATCTTCTTAGGGCTGTTTCAAAACAATGCCAATTAGTAAATTTTAGAATTAAGATATGCATAGCTGGACAAAGGAGGAAGTTTAGATCATATACAAGGAAGTTTCAAAACCGGGAATTTGCTACAATCCTTTAACTCCTAAGCTTAAATAATGTTCATGGCATAGTCTGAGTATATTAGTAACAAAGAGAGATTCCCTAAAGGCTGGATGTTAAAGACCTTCTGCCCAGCATCTAGCTTTGATGGGAATGTAACTTACAAAGTATCTTCACAAGGTAGATCATAGAATAGTTTGGGTTGGAAGGGGCATCTAAAGGTCATCTAGTCCAACTCCCCTGAAATAAGAAGGAACACATTCAACTACCTAATATTGCTCAGAGCTCTGCCAGCCTGATCTTGAATATTTTCAGGGATGGGGCATCTACAGCCTCCCTGGACAACCTGTGCCAGTGTTTCACTACCCTCATCATAAAAAAATTCTTCCTTATATCTAGTCTAAATCTACTCAGCTCTACTTTAAAACCATTACTCCTTGTCCTATTGCAACAGGCCCTGCTAAAGTCTCTTCCCATCTTTCTTATAAGCCCTTTTCAGTACTGAAATGTCACAATAAGGTCTCCCTGGAGCCTTCTCTTCTCCGGGCTGAAAAACCCCAACTCTTTCAGCCTTTCTTCACAGGAGAGCTGTTTCAACCCTCTGATCGTTTTTGCAGCCCTCCTTTGAAACTCCTCTAACAGGTCCATCTCTTTTTTGTGCTGCAGACTCCAAAGCTGGACACAGTTCTCCAAGTGGAGTCTCATGAGAATGGAGGGGGTCACTTCCATTGACCTGCCAGCTATGCTTCTTTTGATTCTCTAGATCTGTCACCTTAGTAGACTACAAGAAGATATCAGGTCCAGAATAGATTTTAAAATATTTTTCCAAATACTAATTAATCAGATGATCATTTGAGTTAATGCACAAGGGCAGTGATTGTGCTGCTTATGAAATTTGAACAGTGATGTAACAGATGAATCTGCCACTCTCACTTAGAAAAGTTGTTCCAGAAACAACTGCACTTTAAAACCAATCAGCATGTTCCCTGTCTTCCAGTGAATGTTGTGGATTCGGTACCTATTGAAATGCCATTTTCTAAACTTGGAATAACATTATTCTAATATGGTTTCATATCATTCTCATTATTATTTTTGGTGGTGGTTTTAATGAAGATGATTGTTATTGTTGTGAACAAGAATACCATGTTCTTGTTCTGGCTTTCAGTATTCGGAAAAAAGAATAAGCTCTTCAAATGCTGTTTTTCCCTGAAGAAAAATTATTTGGCATGTGTAAATGACTTTGTTTCCTACTCCAGTTTATGGACACAAGTTTCTATCTTTGAAAAGGACAACCAGAAGCCAGGAGCAAAGTGTAATTTATGACTCACTTTCTGCAAACAGTTAACTCTTTATGATAAAGAATTTCACAGCAACATAGATACATAGATGACTCCTGAGAAAGTGGTATGGGAAGTCTGTATTCCACCTTCTAACTTCACAAGCCCAGGTGAGATGAAATCTCTGATTTCGGCCTCCTAATTCACCTGCAAATTTCAAAAGCATGGCCATATGTTATCATTCACCTTTAACATTGCAATTTATCTTTTAGAGCACTCACCAAGAAACAGAGGGCATGGGTTCAGTGCTGTACATCCTTCCTTGGCCTGAGGAGATTCATGCTTTCCAAGTGACTCGTGCAATAGCAAAGGCACCTTCCACTCCTCCTTTTAAAACTGGACCATTACACAGGAAGAAATGCAAAAGTACAAAGTCAAAGGGCAAGAGAAGTCCTGATTCTGTGGCCTCATGCACGGTTTCCCAAATGTCATTTTTTGGGTACCACTGTTGGAAGCAGCCTTCTGCATTCCCCCCAAGCCTAAATTCAGGACTGTAAATGTCATCACCTGAACATTATCACCATTTCTTCCTAGTCCCAGCTCTGTCCCCCTTCCTGCAAGTCCACCATTCTGCTTCATCGCCCCATCAGTCTTCAAGATCCCCAATCCATACTTGAAAGCTCTACATATTCCTCTCTATGCCTTCTCCTAGCCAAATCAGTTCCCCAACTGCAATGCCCCGGTCATCTAAGGCACATCCCAACAACCTCACCTTCCACAAATGACTGTTTTCCTATGTCCTTAGCAGAAACATGTGTCCCAGAAAATTCATTTCATGTAAGCCCATGAGAAGAACAGCAGGGGAGGGCTGGAAGGTGCAGACAGCTTCATGCATCACTACATTACTGCCCAGGCAGTGACGGGAACAATCATGTAAAAGTTCTTAACTGATTTGTAAAAGGTCCTGGACATAGAAAATACCAGCACTTGTTGAGTTGTAACACAGTGTGGGAACATCTAGCTTACTGATTCAGACTTTAATCTCGCAAAGGGAAGTTTTTGTTCCAGTCCTTGATCCTTAGGTCATGTCTGCTTTTTATCCATCAGCGTTGTGTAAACTGCATATGCAGTTTCAGCCATGAAGTCCCTCCAAGCTGCTCCCTCCTGGCTAAGTGCTCAAAGCTGTGCTTCTCTGCAGAGAGCTTTGTTGTCCTTGATTTAAGTCCTATGGAAATCCACAAGCTTTATTTGGGTACACTCAGTACATCAGAGCAAATGTCTCTGTGAAGTTTGTGCTTGTAGCTAACTACTGTCTTGGAGTTATCATTTGCTGTAATGTTAAGCATTCATATGTTAATCCACTCGTGGAGGTTGTTGTGCCTGACTGTACTGCAGGACTTTATCAAATGACAGCAAAATTAACAGTTTGGTTTCTGCCAATTTGGTACAAGATGCTTAATATGAAAAGCAGAATACACATCACTGAAGAGAATTTTGGAGCAGATTTCTCTCCAGCTACAATATTTTCACTCTTTTTTCTGCATTGCCATTGATACCAAGACAATTTCTAATTTTGTATTCTGTAAAACAGAAAAGATTCTTCATACAGACTGTGTATGATTGTGTATGTCTTCTTCCCTGCTGAATGGATTTGGCTATGCCATATACCAGCTGAAACATGATTAACTGCAACTAAACATAATGATTTGGGTTTTTAAAACCAGTCAGTCAATGCCAATCAGTATCACGTAGTAGAGAATGGGAACAATGATTTCTAGATTAACTCACTTTGCAACTTCTTTAATTCTGAGTTTGAAAATGAGTCTGAGTTTCACTGTAAAAAACGGTAGATGGTATTTCACACAGATATTCTTCTGAATCTCCCACTCCATTTCCTCTTCTTCTCCACACAGAAACCAGTGGACTCTGATTTCCTTGGATGCTGTAAATTAGCTCTGAATGAATGGACAACTCCAATTAAAAACCCCACACAAGTCTTCTAAGAAGCCAAGAGGGGAATTAGAAAAAACAGCTTGACTTGCAAAATCTCACCTGACCCATGACTAACTCTGCTAATGCAACGCTAATTTAAGAGACCTTTGTACATCAGATACTGCAACTCCTCAGCAAATTGCATCAGGTACTGCAAATTCCTCACTGTTCGTACAGTGTTTTTTCTTTAGATTGCCACTATGTAGAGGAACAGAGAAACTCAATTTATAATCAATTGTTTATGAAACCACCTAAATACTATATAGTGCAGCACAGTTCGTTGCATATGACAGTCCAAGCCAAGCTTAAAAGAACACAGCCCTTTAACAGCCCATTCACATTCCATCCATTCCCTACAGCTGCCTGATTCGACCTGATGGATTAGGGTGAAGTAGTTATTTGTGCTGTAGTCATCAGGGTTTCCAACTAGGCATCAAAGCTGTAACTCTCTTGCTGGTATCCTTTCTGCAGGCTCAGCAAGTTTCTACTGTGCTTATTCAGGCCACAGATTCATTTGCAACCATAAGGGCAAATTTCAAAACAGGATGCAGGTATAAACTCTGTCCTCACTAGAAGAGGTTGTTCCTATGGGCACATCCTCCAAGCACAGATATAACTTCCTCCAGCAAGATGGCTTTTCTCTGCAAAGCTTATACAGGTCCCAAAGATAAAATAAACTATTCAAGCAAAGGACTTGGCATCGAAAAATTCAGATCCCTTTTTTAAAGTGCCAAAATTTGGTCCAAAAAAAGCTGCTATTCACCGGTTACACTGTCAAGCTAAAGACTACTTAAGAGACATGCAGTAGCATATATGGTGCCCAGAGAAAGGTCCAACCTAATAGACTTTCCTCCTTGCCTCTTGTGTGGAATCTGGTAATGCAGAAATCCCAGGTTGATCTCTGCGCGCATGCCTGTGCATAATGCACTGCAGTGTCACACTTATTAGCGTATTCAGAGACATCTGCATGTGATAGAGTGCTATAATATGCATAGCCTTATTTATATGTATTTTTTCCAGATCCAAGGATGTTTGTGTTGCTTTACATTACAAGTTTTGCCATCTACACAAGCGAACAACCTCTTCAAAGCCAGTTCAAAGGAGAAAATTACTACACCAGGTACATCTGTAGCATCCCTGGTTTGCCAGGCCCTGCAGGTCCACCCGGAGCCGGCGGATCTCCAGGGCCACATGGACGCATTGGTCTTCCAGGAAGAGATGGGAGAGATGGCAGGAAGGGAGAAAAAGGTGAAAAAGGGAGTGCAGGTATTGAATATTTTTGTAACCTAACACAGTAGTACAATAAAGTAAGACCTTTCATCATTGCTGTTATACATATATATATAGGATGAATGTGTGTATGCCCCTGTGTGGGTTTAAGTCTGATGCATGTATATATAGAGAAAACATGCAGATATATTTTAGATATGTCTAATATGCAGATACTGAAATCTGTGTAAATAAATGTAAACATATGGTCTTCCTGCATATAGAGGCTAAGAAAAAATTTGGGAAAAACGAAGCATATGTGGTGTCACATAAATAGTCTAATTTGCACCATTAGTACATTAGGAATAAAAGATTAGCAGGTATTTAAGTATACACTAAAAATGCTCAAATAGTAGGAAATATTTAGTGGATGAGTATAATCACATAGGTAGCCACACTGCAGTCCTTCCCATCACCAGTGCCCATAGTTCAGTCAGCAATGGACTGATTATATATAAAATTCTTCAATGTGTAATCAAGATGTATGAAGAAAAGTAGGAATATAGAAACAAAGGACACAAGGGCTTTGGAGCCCGATCCTCTGTCCCAACCTCTCATTCCTTTTGCAAACTTACTAAAAGAATTTGAAATTATTCTTTGAGTGTGTTGAAATTCTGGCCATGTTTTTCTTGTTTGTTCAGGCACACACAGTAGCCCACACAATCATTTACTGAGATGATACGTGCAATGATTAACTAACTTAAAATGTTTTTGAAGGTTTAAGAGGAAAGACTGGGCCATTAGGACCAGCAGGAGAGAAAGGAGACCAAGGTCAGTCTGGTAAAAAAGGACCTGGAGGACTGACTGGTGCCAAAGGTGAAGTAGGTCCAGCTGGACCACCTGGACCTAAGGGAGATAAAGGAGACCGAGGAGAACCAGGTACACCAGGGGTCTGTAAATGTGGAAAAATAGTGCTGAAATCTGCCTTTTCTGTTGGCATCACCACCAGCTACCCACAGGAAAGATTACCAATTGTGTTCAATAAAGTCCTCTTCAACGAGGGGGAGCATTACAACCCTTCCACTGGGAAGTTTATTTGTGCCATCCCAGGGATTTATTATTTTTCTTACGATATCACCTTAGCGAACAAGCATCTTGCGATTGGGCTGGTTCACAATGGGAAGTACCGGATAAAGACATTTGATGCGAACACAGGCAACCACGATGTAGCTTCTGGATCCACAGTGATCTACCTTCAGGCAGAAGATGAAGTATGGCTTGAGATCTTCTACACTGACCAAAATGGTCTCTTTTCTGATCCAACATGGGCAGACAGTTTGTTTTCTGGATTTCTCTTATACGTTGATACAGACTACCTTGATGCTTTATCGGATGAAGATGAGCTCTGAATCAGATGATGTCAAATGACATTCAAACTGGACATCTCAGCACAAGATTTTATCTATCTATGTGGGGGACACAAAGTTGAAAAAAAAAATACTCTGAGCATTTATTTTTGCTTTGATAGGAACAAAATCTGAGCTCATATGGATTTTTCTAGAACCTAAGCTGTATTTTTTACCGAAGAGCAGGGATATCAAAAAGAACTGTAATTAACAAAAGACTGTGTCACTCCAGGACTGACTCCTCTTGAAAGTTGTGTTTATAATACTATTTAAACAAATTTAAGATACTGTACATTGGATTTTATGCAAAATACATTAAGTTGCAATGTAGAACGGATATTTTTTATATGACAATAAAGTAAAATCAAACAATTCATGGCAATATCAACTTCCACAGAATCACAGAATCGCTGAAAGGTAGGTGTTGGAAGGGACCTCTGAAGATCATCTAGTCCAATCCCCTTGCTAGAGCAGAATCACCTAGACTAGATCACACAGGAACGTGTCCAGGTGGGTTTTGAAAGTCTCCAGAGACAGAGACTCCACACCCTCTCTGGGCAGCCTGTGCCAGTGCTCCATCACCCTCATATTAAAGAAGTATCTCCTGATGTTTAGATTGAACCTCCTGTTTTTCATTCTGTGACGATTGCCCCATCCTCCTGTCACTGGACACCACTGAGAAGAGTCCGGCCCCATTCTCCTGACACCTGCCCTTTAGATTTGTACAAGCATTGATGAGAACCCCTTCAGTCTCCTCCAGGCTAAACAGACCCAGCTCTTTCAGCCTTTCCTCACATGGGAGATGCTCCAGTCCCCTCATCATCCTGGTGGCGCTGAGCTGGACTCTGTCCAGTAGTTCCTCGTCCTTGAACTGGGAAGTCCAGAACTGGACACAGTTCTCCAGTGAGGCTTCACCAGCACAGAGGAGAAGGGGAGGATAACCTCCTTCAACCTGCTGGCCACGGTCTTCTTAATGCATCCCAGGATGCCATCAGCCTTCTTGGCTTTAAGGGCACATTGCTAGCTCGTGGTCAGTCTGTTTTCCACCAGGACTCCCAAGTCCTTTTCCCCGGAGCCACTCTCCAACAGGTCAGCCCCCAACCTGATCTTTGGTCATTTTAAGACAGGAAATACATTAAAATCAGATAAAATATTGATTTTTAAAAGGGAGAGGAATAAAATAGGACTGTCTGCTTCAGGATACAGCTGAACAACTCACAAGGACAGTTCCATCCGATATTTACACCAACTAACTATATTAATAATTAATTAATCTCCTAATAAATGCATGAAGATTCGTCCTAGCTGAGGACTGCCCAATGACAGTCATAGAAGAACAGAGGAAAGGTAATAAACATATAAAATAATCAAAAACTAAGAGATCTGAAACTTCAAGATAGACAATCAAGGTTTAATGTATTTTCAGTGTAATTCCAATTGGGTTTGCTATTCTTTCAATGCTGTTCGGTATCTTTATGAGAAATGTGGTAGAAATTAAAAACTTTTTGCTGAAGACAGTTATGGACACCATAAAAATGATAGAACAGTAACCAGCAATGAGAATAAATTGTATGATGCAAACTGAGTCACATAGTTAAAGCAGACTCACTTATATTCCAGCATGGCGAAATACAATGAAATAAATGTAGGTCACACACAAGACAAAAAACTGCATTCAGGAAATCAGGAAGTTTGGAAAAGGTACATGGGGCCTCATGAATAATCAGCTAAATATGAGTCATCAGAGCAGGCTGTTGCTACAGCCCTTTGGATGATAAAATGGAACTACAAGTAGTAAGAAAGAGTAGTTACTTAGGAAGCTACTATTTCTTTCAACATTTCAAAAACTTACTTAAAAACTGAAATAAATGGTTGTAATTCTATCCATGTGGATTACACAAGGTCACTTTATTTTTCTTGTCACCAAGGTTAAGAGGTGATTTGATCACAGTCTGCAAACAGCCACCTGGAGGTAAAATTTCTGATAATAGCTGGAACTTCCTTCTATCATGTAGGAGCACAGTAAGATCTGCCAGTGAGAAACTGTATCAATTCCCATTGGAATTGAAGAAGTCATTTTATCAGTGTCCATATTCAATCATTGTAAAAATATCTAGGAATATAAGGATTTCTCCAGCCCTCAACACCTTTAAAGCAAGACTGGCAATGTAATTGGGTGCTCTTACTTTACAAGAATTTACAATCTTATTTTATTCACCCCAGATTTACAGATACCTGCTATTTCTAACAGTTACTCATAGAATTTCAAATGTTGGTGGTCTGTGTCGTGCAACTCCTGATCCCACTTTTTTACGTCCAAAGCAGGGAAATTTCTGTTTGTTTGTGTTTGTTTTTTTTCCTGTGTACTTAATTAAGAAAATTATAACCAAATAAAATTACGCAAAAGTACTGCTGAGATTCCAAAATGAGCACTACGGTTATGTACGGAACACTAATCTACGCACCCTGCATCTGTCCCATCATTTCCCCATGCACTAACATGCAGGTTTTTAAGTATGTTTCTGTTTTACGCAGCGCACAGGTGCACAGTTCTGTCCACAAATCAAACTGGCAACGCCTGTACAAGCCTTATTTTATTTGACAGTGAGGGATGTGTGGTAGAAGACAAAAGTGGATTTTTCTTCTAACTAGACATCTAATTTATTAGAGCTATGCAAGGGCTGCTTCCCATGACAAATACGGAGCAGAACACTTAGAGCTTCAGTTTATCACTGCGCTGTACAATCATTTATACATCTGCAGATTAAGCAGGATATGAGAGTAAAATGCAGCCCAATGATCATTTACGACAATGACTGATGCCAATGCTTCACAGCCAGCAGTGCCTATACAAGGCATAAGGAGTCTGGGCTTTGTTCAGGGCTGTCTGCACTGAAATTCCACAAGGCAGAACAAACATACCAGGCCCATGACTTCCAGAAAGCATAATTTGATGGACAGAGGATTGCATCTATAATATGTATTATGCAGCACAAGCAACTAATAGAAGTATTTAATTGCAGGTTTATTTTTTTTAAAATGTGGAAATAAGTTTACAACATTTGAATCAATAGGAATTTTATGTTAAGAGTAACAAGTAAATTTTTATTAGAATTAGAAAATCTCCTATAATGCCAAATTTAAGAAGAGTATGGCTGATGTTCTTCAGACTCTACAGAAACATATTTGGTAGTTATAATAAATCTGGACATTTTCAGACAAAACTAATCTTTCACAATCAGTTAGAGAAAAAATAGGACTTTATAGTTAAATGTTCCTGGGTGGAATCCTAACTAAAAGCAAATTGCTTCCATGTAATAATCTTGCAAAAATGAATGAAATATAAGAGATATTTTAACCACACCCACATCATGGGAATATGTAAACCAAGGGTTATTGCTTTCCTTTACTCAATATTTTTAGATTTCTCTTTATACAATCATGGAAAAGTCATTTTACCTTCCCCAAATTTTCCCATTTGAATTCTGTACCTATTTAGAGCTTAATATTTTGGCATGAACTTTTAAAAATAAGTAATTCTGTTGAATTATTCCTGCAGATTTTGGCAAGAAGAATGCTTTTACTACGTGTATGGACAATGTATGTATATAAGTAGCATGTCCCTGTCCTCATTCAGGATCTCAAGACATTATCCTAAAGTAAATAATTGCTTTGTCTATTATTGTACTTGAAAACAGATCAACTCTGATGACATGATACTTCAGTAGGGGTATTCCCCTGTCTAAATTTGAATTTATATGGAAAATATCTTGGGCTGAGGTCTGGTTTAGTTTCAAGATGTTGTGAAAACTCTTTGGGATTAAGTTTGAAATTAATCAAAGATTTCTACACTATATATATCATTCTACAGAAGCCATATATAATTGGGTATACAGACCAAGTTACTCATCTAGACTTTTCCTGCAGTCGCAGAAAGAAATTAGTATCACCAGGAGAAACTTCCACTCCAGGTGGAAGCTTGTCTTTACTGCAGCACCAACTCTTGGGCTTCCTGATGGAGGCTGGAAGAAGTCACACAAACCTGAGACCACCAGGAAACCTTCATAAGTAAAATATATGTATATTTACTTGGGATATATATATGTAAATATACATAAGTAAAAATAAAGTTATTTGAAACAGCTCCCCACAATCATAGAATCATAGAATCATAGAATCATAGAATCATAGAATGCATTGGGCTGGAAGGGACCTTTAAAGGTCATCTACTCCAACCCCTCTGCAGTGAGCAGGGACATCTTTAACTAGATCAGGTTGCTCAGAGCCCCATCAAGCCTGACCTTGAATGCCTCAAGGGATGGACCTTCCACCACCTCTCTGGGCAATCTGTTCCAGTATTTCACCACCCTCATTGTATAGAACTTCTTCCTGATATCTAGTCTAAACCTACCCTGGTCTACTTTAAAACCATTGCCCCTTGTCCTGTTGCTACACAATCTTCTACTCTCTGAGACTTTCTTTACACTTGGTAGAGTGACATCAAGGAAGAAGCCAGTCACATGTTCCATTGATGAATACTTTTAACCTAGGTAACTAACTAAGCTCCATCTTCAAAATGATATGAGTATGTTATTTTGAACCTTCAGTTTCTTCACTACTGGTATTCATTTCCATACGATTTAGGCTGTTATAAAATTTTTTCAAGAGCAATAGGCCCTAAAGAATTTTTTACAAAACACAGACAATCTAGAGGAAATAGTTGCTGATGGATATCAGTATTGAGAACATTATCTACACTTTTCAAGTCTTATACAATCTACCTAACACCATTTACGTACTTTTTGGGATAAGTAGAAATGTGTAAAATGGACAATAAGCTTATCTCATTCCATACCAGGTATGCTTCATTAGTTTGTGGAGTCTGTATATTCATTGACTAGGACATTTACTATTCAATAATTAATTTACTTTTTGCTAAATAATTTACTTTTCACTAATTGGTTATCTATCCATTGGCAGGTAATTCATACTCAGGATAACTATACTGATTCTGTATTAGGCAATTTGATCAGTAGAAGCTTCAGTTTTATGTGGAAGTGTGACTTACATTATATATGCATTTCAGCAGGTGATGAATTCCACCCAAGACATAATATATGAGAGTAAACAGGAGAAAAACAGAGTTTAGAAAGCAATATACCACATGAATTACTCCCAGGGAGTAATACATTGCTTTCAAGAAGCAATTTATTCCTTTCAGTATAAATCATTTGGAATTCAGCTCAGAAAGCATTTAGAAATTATATTCACTTCCCTGTAACTCCTTAAGTCAACAACCGAACTGTGGTTATGTTACTATTTCTGAATTTCAGAGGCATGATTCTTCCCCATATCGGCATGAAGAAAT